GTTTAGTAGTGTCCAGAAGTGCACTGTCGCGCTCCGTCAGTTGGTGTACGGGACGACATCTGATATGTTCGACGAATACTTGAAGATGTCGGCTCGGAGCATCAGGTCCTGTGTTTATAAATTTTTTAAAGCTATTATTCAAACGAAAATGAGGAATATCATGTACGCATGTATTATTCTTCATAATATGATCATAGAAAACAACGAGACTGTGATTTGTCAATACAACCCGGACGAGGAAGTGCCTATTTACGAAGAAATCACCGAAGAAAATAAACAAAGAAACCGCCAATAAATTCGAAGCCGAGAGATTCACGATGCACTAACGGCGGATTTGATCGAACATATCTTTAGTCGCTCGAATAATTAGTGATTTCTTTGTATTATTGTTTTTTTATTTAATATTTTTTTAATGAATGTAATTTTTTATGAACGTAATTTTTTTTAATGAATGTAATTTTTTTATGAATGTATTTGTTTATGAATGTAATATCCATACTTTAGTTAAAAAGACATGGAGTCAACATATGATTTTCCCGCCCAAAGAGTATGACAATTATAAATGGCAATTGTAAAGTTAAATGGTAAGTGGCCAAAATTATAGTAATAATTATTATAATTATTATATTTATAATAATTAAAGAAAGGTAAGTTAATAATTGTAGTGGCCGAAATTATAGCAATAATTATTATATTTATAATAATTATAAAATGGCCGAAAGGTAAGTTTATAATTGTGAAGTTCTAATTATTAAAGAAAGGTATAAATATAATAATTAACGTATTGATGGAAATAATTTAAAAAAATAAATTAATAATTGTAGTGGCCAAAATTGTAGTAATAGTTATTATAATTATTATAAATATAATAATTATGAAGTTAAAATGGTTAGTAGCCAAAAATTATGAAGTTATAATTATTAAAAAAAGCTATAAATATAATAGCCAAAATTGTGAAGTAATAATTGTGAAGTTATTACCAATTATTATATTTATAATAATTATAAAATGGCCGAAAGGTAAGTTAATAATTGTGAAGTTAAAATGGTAAGTAGCCAAAATTATGAAGTTATAATTATTAAAAAAAGCTATAAATATAATAGTTAACGTATTGAAAATTGGAACTAATTAAAAAAGGTAAGTTAATAATTGTAGTGGCCGAAATTGTAGTAATAATTATTATAATTATTATATTTATAATAATTATAAAATGGCTGAAAGGTAAGTAAATAATTGTGTTGTTAAAATGGTAAGTGACCGAAATTGTGGGTTTATAATTATTTAAAAAGGTATAAATATAATAATAGCTATTATTTTTATAATAATTAATTAACGTATTGTAAGTGTGAAGTTAATATAGTTATTATTTTAATTATAATTAACGTGAGCAATATAAAATGGTAAGCGTGACGTTAATATAAGTATTATATATATAATAATTAACATATTGAAAATTGGAAATAATTAAAAAAGGTAAGTTATAAAATTGCAGAGCGTAAGTTTTTAATAAAATTGGAGTCAATGTATTATATGCTAATAATTAACCAACGTTATTTTGACTACTGATTGAAAACGTATGAAATTATGGTAAGAATAAGTAAATATCATTTTTAACCATCGGAAGTTAATATAATTATTTTTATAATAATTAACATGAGTAATATAAAATGGTAAGCCATCGGAAATTAATATAATTATTATATCTATAATAATCAACATATTAAAAAGGTAAGTTATACAAATCAAAAGCGTAAGTTTTAATAAAGGTAAGTTATACAAATGCAAAGAGTATGTTTTCGAAAATTGGAAATAATTAAAAAAAGGTAAGTTATACAATTATACACCCACTTTCGGGAAAAAATAATTATGGTAAGAATAATTATACACCCAATTTCGAAAAAAGTTAACCCGTCTTATTATAATTATAATTATAATAGCCTATAGCCTATTACAATTAAATATACTATAAATATTCCCACAAATTGTACAATAATGTAGCCTATAAAGAAGTCTTTCGAAATTTGTAAAGCAGTGATGTTTTTTACCTTAAAATAATATAATCTCTATATTTTATTGCATCTCATTTTTATCATTGAAAAATGATTTGAATTTAATAACATAAAAATGACCCGTGCAACGCACGGGTGTGATACTAGTTTTTTTTAATGAATGTAATTTTTTTAATGCACTAGTCTCATTGCGATTAATTTAAATAATAAATTAATTACATTTTATTAATTTAGTTTTAGAAGATGTATATTTAAAAATGTAAAAAATGAAGGTTTGAAGCCCCCGGGGCTTCAAATCCATTTCCAGTGAATCAGTGAGGTAAGTTAAAGCTGACGTGGCAGAGAGAAAAATTTTGAAGCCCCGGTTTGAAGCCCGATTTCAAGTGCTCTCATGTGCGTTAAGGTACTACCCTATGTTTTGCAGTTTTGGTCATACTTCGTATTTATTTGGAAGAATTATCAAATAATACGACTTTTTCTCTTGTTTTTCCTAAAATAATTTCACTATTTAATGTCACGGAAAATAATCGAATTTTCTCACTGTGTGAATTTTAGATCGCCATTAAGATGCTAACAGTTACTTAGCAAAATTTGTAGAAATTGCATGTTTTCAAAAATAAATGAAAGGTGAAATTATTTTAGGTAAATTCTTTGTTTCATTTTTAATCATGAATTTTAAAATTAAATCCCTTTTAAAAAAAGTTTTATAAATAGTACCAAATTTAAGCTTTTTTTGAGTGACACTGATTTGGCCTGTTTGGGAATAGCGTTAGAAATTAGCGTTAGCGTTTTCAAAAGGCTATCTACGGGCAGAGTTTAACATTAGCGTTTTCAAATTAATCTTCACCGTTAAAATTTTATCCAAAACGCCAACGCTAATCGCTAAAGGTATTCCCAAACAGGCCCATTATTTTTTTCAATCATCCATAATCTGGCAATAAATTTTTTTCCCAAAATAATATTACAAAAATTGTAAATTTACACAATAAACTATTCTACAAAATGGAACTAATTTATTTACTCTATAACTCATTACTTTTTTCGTAATTTGCAATTACTTTCTTGAGCGGCACTGCAAATTATTTTTTGAGAATATACTATTATTGTTTTTTTTTTAAAACTGGCACTACAAAACTTGTGAATATTTTTTGATAATTCACTATAAATGATTTTTGCAGAACAACATTACAACAATTGTGAAATGACCCATTAATTTCTTCTTTGAAATGAAACTATTATTTTGTTGTGATTTTTTCGATAATTCAGTGGAAAAAATTCCGCAAAATAACAGTACAAAAGCTGTGAAAATGGCACACTAATTTTTTCTCTCCAAAATGACACTAATTATTTTTATAACTCACTACAACCTTTTTGTATTGCAATTTCTTTCTCGAGCGAAACTCTATTTTTTTGATAATCCAGTATTATATTTCCTCCAAAACAGAATACAAAAATGGTAAATCATTATATTTTTTAAACAAAATTGAGACAAATTTCTAGCAAGAGTGTACTGTTATATTTTTGAAGACATGAATTTTAAAATTAAAAAACGAAAAAAGTGAATTTATCTATAATAATCACACATTTAATGTATTTGCGAAAAATATGCATTTTCTAAAAGTTCCGTTAAGTGACCGTAGCTTCTTAACGGTAAGCCAAAATTTGCACACATGTAGAAGTGTGAGATTATATTTTGTGACAAGAAAAAGTGAGATTATTTTTGAAAAAACGTGAAAAAATGAGATTATTTAAGATAACTTGTCCTATTTATTAATTATCTTAAACGAATTTATACATCACCATTTTCTATTTTAGTAGAAGAATATGTCGCTCACAACATTTATTTCCACCAAATATGTGTTATTTGTCCCCAAATAAAAAGTGCAATTTGCCACTGATTTCAGAAATTGTGAAAAACTAATAATTGTTTGTATAAAATTTGTTGAAATAAGAAACATAACATAAACCACGAATTATGATCCTTTTAAGAAAAGTATTGCGGAATTAATTTTGGAACTAGTGAAAAAATACCAAGTAAAAATTTATTTGGGATAGAGTAGATTTAGGGCCTGTTTGGGAATAGCGTTAGAGATTATCGTTAGCATTTTGGATAAAATTTTAACGGTGCAGATCGCTTTGAAAACGCTAACGCTAAACGCTGCCCGTAGATAGTTTTTTCAAAACGCTAACGCTAATCGCTAACGCTGTTCCCAAACAGGCACTTAAACAACATAAGAGTGCGAAATATATATTTTTTAAATTTTTTAATATTATCATAAGAGGAAGACCAAAATAAAAGTAAAATATATGGAAAGAATCAAAATAAGATTTTCTTATTTTGAACTCCAATAATGCCAACATATAATTCCAAAAGACAATGTGAAAGAATAATATACTCTCTATGTTCCTGATCAAATTAGGAGTTATGAGGCAAAACCTTTGAAATGATTTTATTTAAAAATTGGTATATCAATAAGAACTAAAAATTACATATTAAAAAACTACGTCAAAAGTGCTATAAAAAAAGAAGTGACACGAATATTTTATTTTATCAAATACTCAATGATATCATAAAAACAAACAAAAATTATCGAGATGAGAGAAAAAAAATTGTAATTTATTTCAGAATAGGAAAAGTACAACACAATAATGAGACATACAAAAAACTATTTTAGAAAAAAACATGTCATTCATATTTTAAGAATAAGTGCTATGTTTTATTTCTAAAAATTTTAGGTAATTTCTTTATTACCGGGGAGTATTACTCCCAGTCCGCACATTTAATAAATTATTTAGGAGTATATTTGTATTAAAAAATTGTACTCCGTACTTATCTCGACAACTATATTCCAATATTCCATAATTTTTTTTACACCACATATATCTTCAACATCACCCAATCTTCTTTCTTTTTTTTAATCTCTTTATCTATCTTTATTTATTATTTTGTATTTTTTTTCTTTTTAATCCCAATTTTCTCTGCATTATCTTCCATAGCGTAAAGATAATCCTTCAATCCAAACTTTACTTTCATTGTTTATTTGGATCATGCGAAAACAGAGAAGCTGAAATATCTCTGTTTGTCGGGTCACAAGACATTATCGCGATCTTCTTGACGGGTTGGTGAATCCGAACTCCTGATCCGACCCGGCCGGAAAACGCCCTTGGCCACCGTCATGACTCGGCGGTGCTCGCATTGCAGCAACAACGGCCACAACTCCCGGACCTGCCCGACCCGAGGGGTGAAGCTTTTCGGAGTCCGATTGACTGACGGGTCGATCCGGAAGAGTGCTAGTATGGGTAACTTGACCCACTATGCCGCCGCCGCCGCCGCCGCCGGCTCCACGCCGCAGAACGGCGCCGCCCTTGACTCCCCGGATCACACCGCCGCCGTGGATGGTTATGCCTCCGAGGATTTCGTTCCCGGATCCTCCTCCAGCCGCGAACGGAAGAAAGGTTGCAGCTTTTTACTCCAATTATCCATTTATTTATTTATTCTTGTTTTCTTACACGTGAAGATTGCTTTAAATATGCAAGATTTTTATCATCAAGTATATATCGATGGCCTGATTTAGCGTATTTGTATGGAATTTTCCTTAATTTGATCATCAAATTTTGAACCCTTTTTTTTATTTCCCAAGAACCTTTCATCATAACCATGTTTGTTTAATTATAAAAGATTTTTCCAACCACCAATTCCTTTGCAGTATAGTAATTTGAAAGGGTATAGTATGCAACTATTTTTGGACCCAAACATAAAAGGACCAAAAAAACTTTGCCCAATTCAGTATAGTATGTTTCTTGGTTGGTGGATAGTGTATCCACTACTCAGGATTGTTAGAAGAAGCTTGGAAATCTTCACAAAGGCTATGTTTGGCTTTTGCTAGTTTTGAAATCATCCAAATCCAGTTTTTTTAGTATAGCATTAAAGTCATTTGGATGTATTTCTGAAACTGAAAACGTACGTAATAGGTCTACTGTCAAGAAAAAGGAATTCATAGCTATGTTGTTTTTGCTATGTGAGTGTTTTCATATGACTCCCAAATTATCCTTAGCTAAGATGTTTACAAACAATATAGAATGAGTTGTGTGGTTTATGATGTCTAAACTGTCTCCTTTCTTATTCATCATCTGTGGGTGAAGTTGCCTTATTCATGTGGTTATGATTGTTATGTTACCTCTTCTTCTGTTGCAGGGGTTCCATGGACTGAAGAAGAACATAGGATGTTTCTTCTAGGTCTTCAGAAGCTTGGCAAAGGCGATTGGCGTGGAATTGCACGCAACTTTGTGATTTCAAGAACACCAACACAGGTTGCAAGCCATGCGCAGAAATATTTTATCAGGCAAAGTAATTTGTCAAGGCGTAAAAGACGCTCCAGCCTGTTCGATATTGTTGCAGATGAAGTAAGAACTTATTTGTCATCTACAATTTTTTTTATATTTTTTATTGAGCATACCAATATATAGTGCCCACACCCAAGTATAGATGGATTTAGGTATCATCATGTTCGGTAATGCACATTAAACTTTCCTTCGTACTTTCTACTAGCATGAAGTTTTGGGTAGTAACTGCAACAATGCATCAATGAACTGATTGAATTATGGAATCAATCTCTTTTGTTTTTTAAGGGGTTAAGCTGCTTGCATATTGACCTGCATAGCTGGAATTATACTCGTTTTTTGTTCTTTTTGTTATATGAAACATGTTTGCTAATTTTGTTTTGTATATATGATTTGTATGGCTTCTTATGAAAATAATGATTTTTTGGAAATTCAAAATTGTTTTTTAAACCATTTCAAAACTTAAAACAAGTTATTATATGTATAAAACAAAGAAACCATAATCTTCTTGTTTCTCATAATTTGCAACATTCTACGTTTGTTTGTACAACCTATAAACTAGAAAGTAAATGAAAATAAAAACAATACCAAACGAAACACAGTAAATGGATTTCTGCTGCTCTTTAGAAAGGCCATTAGGATAGACAGATAGATATCTGTGCTGCAGTTTGAAAATAAGTTTCTGTTCTTATGGTTTTTTTTTTCTTTTAAAAAAAATCAATTTTTTTCAGCCAGCCGATGCTCCAGTGGAATCTCATGATATCATGCCTACCAATCATCCTCAAAACGAGACACAGAGCGAGAACCCACTGTCTGATCCTCCTAATATGGATGAAGAATGTGAATCTAAGGCTTCTGCAAACTCCAATAATGATGGAGAAATCTTGCTTCCAATTCCAGAGAGCTCCCAATACCCATATCCACTTGTATACCCCGCGTACGTGACTCCCATATATCCTCTCCCCATTCCATATTGGCAAGGGTATAACAGCCCAGAGCCAACCAAAGGTGAGAGGCACGAAGTGCTTAAGCCCACGGCAGTCCATTCCAAGAGCCCTATTAATGTGGATGAATTAGTTGGGATGTCAAAACTGACCTTAGGGGAATCACTTGCTGATGTAAAGCCACCTTTGTCTCTTGAACTAGTCGAAGGCTCAACAAGGCAGTCGGCCTTCCATGCAAAATCCGTGAGTTCTAGCCACAACCCGATCCATGCAGTCTAGTAAGGGCGTGTTTGGTAGGGGGGAAGAAACCATTTCCCCTCTCCTCATTTTGTTCAAAAAATTGTCTTGAACCAAACGAGGGGAGGGAGTGAGGGACACATGAAACAACAATGGAGTGTTGCCTTGTTTATTATGGTTTAGTCATGACTTCATTTGTTGGAATAACATCTGTAGCTTGGGTTTTAGGAACCATTAACAAAAAAAACGTTACTTCGTCTTCAGCTTTACGACATTTTCTTCTTCCTGGTGGGATGATCCGTGTTGGGCAATAAAGTCGAGGGTGAGTTCGACTCCAGTTCGATCTAAGTTCAGACAAGTTGATATTCTAGTTGATTCATTTTCTGTGTGAAGGTACAAGTGTGAAGGTACAAGTCTACCAGTCTTGTATAGAAATGTTTTGTCCAACTTGATTTGTTTATATTTTGTGTGACCAAATTTCAAACAGTAGTGGTAACTTTTTTTCCCTTGCTTGTCCATAATTTACACCAGGCAATCAGGTCAATTGGTTAAGTTGTGTTTCGGGTATATGTTATAACCAGTTCGATTCGATTTTGTTCAGGTTCGGGTTTTATTTGGTTTCGGTTGGATGAGTTACTTTTCAGTTTAGATGCGATTTGGGATATTATTGGTTCAAGCGCTGGATGGTTTGAGGGGATGTGAATTGGGGTAGATGTTTGTTTAATTTTTAAATGAAAAGAATAATGTTAATTACCCATGTATAATTCAGTTCATATTTTATTTTGGAGTTTCATTTGGTTTGATAATGATTTAGTTTGGGTTTCATTCGAGTTGTTTGGATTTGAGTTTCATTTAGTTTGATTCTAATTTGGATTGGACTCAATTTAATTTGGTGTTAGTTTGATTAGGCTTATCTCTAGTTTTAGTTATAGACCGTGTTTTTAGTTTTTTCGTCATTTCAGGTTATTTGGCTTAGGTAATTAGTTCCTCCTCTAGTTTAGATGAGTGTTTCTTAGGGGCTATTTCTGTGACATTGTGCGGCAAGGTCATAGGATGACCTGGGGCGCTCGTTATCATGTTCGTAAAATTGATGGTTTTTATCCTCCTAACCCTCCAGTGAACCCTACTCTATTCTGACCCGAACACACCCCAACCCCCTTCCATTGCACTCCAAGTTAATTATTACTTTGGAGTCAATTTTGACTCCAAAGTCAATATTAAATTGGGGGTGCAATGGAAGGGTGTGCGGGGTGTGTTCGGGTCAGATCGTGGTGGGGGTTTATTGGAGGGGTTAGAGGGTAGGAACCGTTAATTTTTTAAACGGAAAACTGAAGCGCTCCCATATTATTCAATGAGTTCTAATATCATGGGAACCCCTCCGTTTCTGTTTATAAGTTATTTTAACTTATAAGCTCTTATGAGTTTTTCTCTGTGCTTATGAGCTCTTTGTAAGCCAGAAAAAATAAATAGGTGTTGCTTACTTATTTTATCGCAAGTTTTTCTAAAACTTCGTCTTGACCAAATTACAAAACTAATCCTCACAATAAATAAATATGTAGTATTTTCAAATGCATATCTATCATTTAAATAATTTTATTTTCGTGAAAGAATATTTAACTTATAAGCTGTTTATAACTAATAAGAAAATAAGCACCAATATAGAGAAACGACTTGAATAGGTACTTCTCTATGCTTATGAGTTGGTCAAAAATAATTTATAAGTTTTAACTCATAACTTAGCCCATGACATGATGTGCTTATAAATAACTTAAAAGCCTGAAAAATATGGTCTTACCTACTTATCTTTAAGCTAGGCTTTCGTTCTTTCATTTTGACTCGATAATCTACAAAATTATCTCTCGTTATTTATGAATATTTCCAAATGACTTATATATCATTTAAGTCATTTTACTTTCATGAAAGAATATTTAACTTATAAACAATTTATAAGTTTATAAATGTCTATCAGCAATAAGTCAATAATCACCCGCAGAGAAACATTCCTTGAGTCTTGCCGTAAACTAACACCTAATTTGTGTTCATTTTTCTTTATAAAAAGGATTTTCTAATGTCATTCATTAAACCATTAAGGGTATGAGATGATACTATTCTCACCCTTTAAACAGTATCCATCCCAATTTGTTGTTTCCGAAGTTTAACTGAAATTATTTATATTTAATTTATTTAAAAATCAGTGTGAAATTATGTCATTGGGTCGACCTTTACGTTGTATTATTTTATCTATATCAATATCGCGTGCAAAAATGTCAGGGGATCCCAAGATTTTGACTCCAAATGTACACCAATGCCAATACAGACACACCCGAACATTTACTGTTTGTGCACACACAAACATTAAACGTCCGCGTATGTCTGTATTTGCTTAGATGTGCATTTAGTGTCAAAAATCTCAGAGAGTCCCCTTAGCTCTCCTAGTTTGGCTAGTTAGGTTTCAATTTTACATCCTATATTTTTCTTATAAGAAAAAAATGGAAGATACATCAGAATATATATGAAAATCATCAATTTTCCTCGGATGGAGAATGATGCAGACGTGTAAATTAGGAACTATCCGGTGCGAGGGGCAACTTGTGCCACCAATCAAACAGAGGGAGTAGTCGGAACCTCATGAATTGATCATAAGGTGAGTTAGGTGACACCGGTTTTAAAAACTTGAATTATATTCTACTCGCGAGTGGGCATTGTGCAGCTGACAAAGTCATCAGAGATTGTCAAGTGGATAAATTGGTGGGGTTACGGCGGGGTTGGGGCAGGGGTGCAGGGGTGGGGGTNTAGATTTGGGGGTGTAGGAACCGTCAATTTTACGAACGGAGCACCGGAGGTGCCCCAAAAACCCTGTGGCACCGGAGTGGCACCGTTCTCCGGTGTCACTGGAACGTTGCTCATTTTTACATCAATATCTAATATTTCATCTGTTTTTGAGTATTTATCTATTTTTGATATTTTTTGTCATAATTATAAAATTGACCAAAAATTAAATAAAAGCGACATTAGATAATGATGCAAAATTGTTTTATTAGATTTATTTTATAAAATATATTTAAAATATTATTTTATCTAATTAATATACTACATATATTTTATATAGTTATGTTTCTAAAGATGAAAATAATTTAGATAAAACTGAACAAATAATTACAAAAGTCTTACACTATTATTTATGTGCCAGTTTTGGCTGTTTTGGAATCTAGCCATTGGAACATCATATGCATGCAACATAATTGGATGAGTGATACGGTGGCAATGGAAGATCCTAGAGCATCCACAGTCGTAGCACCTTTCATTACATGCTCAAATGTGGGCTCTACTTTAAAAATATTATTGCAGCATCACATTAAAAATCAGTTTAATTAATAATTTATTACTCCATATTTAATTAAACTGATTTTTTTTAAATTATATAAATAATTAAAAATATTATTCATGACTTTTTTTATTGTTAAAAAATTTTGAATAAAAAAATAAAGATATGGTGGTATTACTAAAAACAAAATAAGGTTTCATATTTTTTATGGAGTATTTAATTATTTATTTAATTTTTGTGTGCAGATCATACTCCATCAAATGAATCACTTTAAAGAGACTTTTCATGGTATCACTACAAGTTAAAAAATGAAAAGAAAAAAACATGCGAAAATGGTTTGTTTAAAAAAATGGTAAAGATTTTTTCTGGAAAAAAAGAGACACAATAATGGTATAAAATTGTAGTACCACTACACGTTAACAAAAATAAAAAGAAAAAACATTGAAAAGAGAATGCATTATTAAAAAAGACTTATTTAAAAAAAAATAAAAAAGAAAGAATGCACACATGATTTTGAATGCTAGCACCTGGTGCTCTCTTGAGCATCTCTCACTATCTTTCTTCTTTGAACATCTATCTCCAATAGTGGCACCTATAAACATCCTCTCTCTCTCTCTCTCTCTATATATATATATATATATATATATATATATATATATATAGATTTTGGTTCAGGTGAAAATGCGATCTTATGAAAGAAATAAGAATGAATCTGGTGCTTTAGATTGTGAGATCTAAGGGTTAGGATTGCATCAAAATTAGGTGCACCAAAATGGTTTGAAAATGCATCATGTAGAAATGCACCATAATCCCTTGAAAATGCATAAACTCAAAATCTGAGTGCAGGATGCAATCTGAGCCGCATGAGGCATCAAATCTAAAGGCTAGATTTTATTCTTATTTCTTTCACCAAGGTGCAATCTCACTTGAACCGCCCGCTATATATATATATATATATATATATATATATATATATATATATATATATATATATATATATATATATATATATATATATATATATATATATATATATATATATATATATATATATATATATATATATAGAGAGAGAGAGAGAGAGAGAGAGAGAGGGACTACATACTCCCTCCATCCAAAAAGTTCCCTTTTTTTCTTGTCCCATAAACATCTTTCCTTTTCTATTAAAAAAATTATTTTTATCCCTACTAATTCTTAACTTACCTATACTATCATAACTTTTTACTAATAATCTAC